CTCCGTCGCCTCGACCTGGCAACTCCATCGCCTCGACCTGGCAACTCCATCGCCTCGACCTGGCAACTCCATCGCCGCGACCTGGCAACTCCATCGCCTCGACCTGGCAACTCCATCGCCTCGACCTGGCAACTCCATCGCCTCGACCTGGCAACTCCATCGCCTCGCCTTGGCAATTCTATTGCCGTGACGCACAGCCCTCGGACGGCGATCCTTGCTCTGCACGATTGGCAAGAAAGCTGGTGGGTGGGTGGTGGTGGTGGTGTCGACTTTCTCATCCCCTCTTTCCGGTCTCCTTATCTTTCCTTTCTCTGTTGTCTCTATCTTTCCCTCTTTCGAGTACCAACTATCTTACTTTACCTTCCCTTGTGCAATATATTATCATTTATCACCCACTTGGCCCTTCTTGCATCTTTCTTTGACCACCTGGAATGCCTTCTTTCCTCTCGGCTCCCTCTCCCCCCACCCCCTTATTCCCTTGGGTGATTTCAACCTCCACCTGAGTTTGTCCTCCATCTCCACGAGTTCTCCTCCCTCTTAACGGCTCCTTTAATCTCCACCTCGCACCCCATACATCCGTCAACACTCTGGTCCCAATTATCCTCTCCGATTGCACAGCTCCCCCCATCCCCACGGATCTCCCCCCTCTTCCGATCACCTTTTCACTTTGACCATCACTTTACCCTCCCCTCCTGCCTCTATCCCCTCCCCTCCAGCACCCCATTCTTCTGCCATGATCTCCGTTCTCTTGAACCGCCTTTGCTGATGTCCCCCTTATTCTCGACCCTCCCCCCACTTTTGACTTTTCCTCCCTTCACCCTGACGACGACGACTCCGCGTCTACTGTTGCTTTGGCTCTCTTTGTCTCTCTCTCTCGACACCCCCCCCCCCCCCCGCTGCCCCACGTTCCTTTCCCCCCCCCATCCCCTCGGCCCACTCAACCACAGCTTAAACTTGACCAGCACTCGGTCCGCCAGCTGGACACAACTGGAAAGCCGATCCTTCCAGCACAGACCCATGCACTTGAACTTTCCCTTTCCACATTTCTTGCAGATCCCGCATCTGCAAAACAGCCTCACCTTCTAAAGTGCAAACTCATTTATTGCCAACTGCTTTTTGCGTTTAGTTTGTTGTCGTTCGTCCGCACCTCTGATTAGCGCGGTTGGCTATGTACGGTGTGAAAGAAGTTCAACATGCACACACACACATACATTACTTCCTATCCCTCATCTCTTCCCTTGCCCCACACCTTCATCGAGTCTTTTCCACCATCAACAATTTGCTGTGTCCCTCTGTCACTTCGCTTTCCTCTCTTGCCAATGCCCCTCTCATCTCTTTCGACTTCCCCTCTCGCCATATTCGTTCACAATATTCTCTCTTTCTCTTTCCGTGTCCCTCCTCCCTGCACCCAATCTCGTTTTGGATCCTTCCCTGCACCCATCCACTGAAATTAATTTCCCATTGTACATCGAGCAGCCCACCTCCTTAGCCTCCTTTCATTCCTCGCTTGCCTCAACCTCTTCTTCATTGCCCATTCCCCTTCCTCTTCCCTACCTTCGCCCCTCTACTCTTTCAGGTTCCTCCCCTATAGGCCCTCTCGTGACCCCCATTTGCCCTCTGTTGCGGTCACTCATTCCTCGGCCTCGGCTCGCCCTTGCCATCTTAAATCACTCGATGTTTTTTTTACCGCTTTTAAACTATGTACAGTGCCCTATAAATTAAGATAAGTGAAACCATTTCGTAAAAAAAAACCCCCACCAATAAAAACACATTTCGAGCCTCTAAAGATAAAAAAACACACCTGTACACACACACAGCTTGCAGTCGCTTGCACAGAAGCACTGAGCTATAAACTCCAAACCTTGGCAGCATTGCCTCGACCACAGCGAACGGGGAGGATTTACCTTCCAACAACGCGTATGAGCGCAGTGTGTGTTTGCTTACCGAGTCGCTCTGTTGCGACGCAGAACTAGTGGAACGTTTGATAAAATTGCAAGCCAGCAGTGAACCCAAATGTTCTGAGAGAGGAACAACAATGAATAAACAAATGTTTTTTTGGGCCAACATTTCCCACTGGGTATATATATTCATGAATTAATATCGACTCCTAGGCTCACGATACACACATCAACTAGCGTGCATGAGATGCCGATGTTTATAATTATGCAAATGACATGCAAATGTTACTTGGTGGCTAACAGAGTGAACAAAACGGGTGCGATCAGACGGAAATTAACCGCTGGGAAAAAAAATAAAGAATTCGTTGTTCAGTCGATCGCGTTATTTATAAATGTGTCGTAACCCTCCACCACCCGACACGGCCAAACAGCAAAAAATGTGTCACGTTGACAAAAGACAAATAGTTCACTACTTTAGCCCACCCGGTGTGTTGAAGAGTGAATCCACAACATTTACAGTTTTTGAGTACGACGTTTCGCTGGTAATTACATCCAGCATCATCGGGCAATTCGCCAGAATTCTGTAAATGTTGTGGATCCACTCTTCAACACACCGGGTGGGCTAAAGTAGTGAACTCTTTGTCTTTCGTCAACGTGACACTTTTTTGCTGATTGGCCGTGTCGGGTGGTGGAGGGTTACGACACATTTATAAATAACGCGATCTAACCCCCTAAAAGTTTATTATGAATAATATTGGTCGCGAAAGCCTACGTGTTAAATTGTCTAGTAGAATTACAACCCATTAACCGTGACAATTCATCCAATGGCTGGGGTGGGCGTATTAACAGTTCATTATTTCACAACTCAGTGGCATTGTCACACGCTCTATGGGCGACATGCATAAAGGAAGAGAGAGGGGTACAACCATATTTCCGCGATACACTTGCAAGCAGATTTTTTATTTCATCAAGATCTGCCCAGCCTGGACAATATTTCCACGCCCAGCACACAACATTAAGTATACACCTCTCAACAATGGCTGTGGCCACAGTTAGATACCACCTACTCCGGTCTACCACCATGCAGGAAAATATTCATTGAGATATTAAGCCGTAGTTACAAGTGTATTTCACGAATAAATTGTGGCACTGCCACATAGTGCCTTTTAGCGACCTACATAACACCATGGTTGCACCATAATCCATATAAAATTATAAGGTACTGTACTTTGAATGTATGGATGTTGAACTTCTTTCACATGCACAATTCTTCGAGTGTAAGGCTATCATGAACCTGCTGTGTTCACATGGGATGCGGTAATTTCCCAGTCGGGGGGTGAAGTTGCCGTGTTTGTTTTTACAAATCGAGAAGTTTTGGGGTAACTTTTCAAATTTGGAACGTTTAGACCCTGACGTCGGTGCACAATGGCTTAGTCTTTTTCAAAGAGAAAAAAAAACATGTCACGGGACATTCAGAGTCCAGTGTGAAGCAGACGGCGTGCATTGCGGTGAACACGTGCGTAGTATTAACCAGGGTGTCCGCCGGTCTCGAATCGCAAACAAGCCACAGACAAGCTATCAATTGGTCATGTCACTTGCAGGGTCTCCTTCCGCCAAATTAAATAAAGGGGTCCCCATATGCCTCTGCTGAAATGGGGAGGGGGAAGTGAAGCAACCTCTCTTGCCTTGCCTTATAAGGGCATGCATCGCGTTTCAGTAACTTGCGCTCGAGCTGAGCGAGCCCCCATCCTCTGCTTGCGCCAAACAAAACAGCAATCCATTCCCAGGCAAAAAAAAAATACTGCAGCGTTTGGGACGCGTCCAGCTACCGTTAGCAGCTGGATAATGGCAAAGGGCTGTCTCTGTGGCATTGAATTATTAGCTAATGGATATGTAATGCACTTCTCATAGATTTGCCCTTACAAAGTATTTTACAATTAGATTTCCTCTGTAAAAAAAAAACACCTCGATATAATTAGAAACTGGCAAATATTGAAATAGGCTTTCAAACTAGAAAAGACATTGCTCTGAATACAGTGCCGTTGTATGATAATGTTAAGTGAAGTATTGGTATAGACCTACAGTGAATGATACGAAATCAAGAGAGACTTTTATTCCTATAACACAATCTTCTATTTATGGTTTGACATTGCATCGATCGCTCCATAAATATAATGAATTACAGGAAAGGCTCTTTGGCAAGTCCATTAGTACATTTTCCATTAAACTCTATAAATAATGCAATTGTTATCTTCCGCTGGCCTTGAATTATGCCGCTTTCAGCAATCTACACAAGGCCCATTGAAACGGCCACGTTGGTAAACAGACGTGAGAAGCAGCCAATATCCTGGCCCTCTGGAAACGACAGAAGTATAATATTATGTTTGATGTTTGCCACCCGTCCTGGTTTTATCCCTTGACACAAGATGTTAACTCCCTCGCCTAGCATACAGGAGGTCGTGGGATCGATCCTAACCCTGACGCCTATTTGGAATGTGCGTGTTCTCTCCGTGGTCGCGTGGATTTTTTTTACCGGGTCCTTCGGTTTTCCCCTCCACGTTTAGAAACATGCGTTGAGAGTATTTGGTTGATATGTCCACATGATGAGAAGCCACTTTGTTGAGCTATCATTTGTGGCTAAGTCGCTTCTGAAAAAAATAGCTATATAGCTCAGTGAGCCTTACCTGGTAATAAAAAATAGTTTAGGGTTGCCATGTGTCCTGGTTTATGCCAAGATCGTTCACTTGTTGATGTAGCCATCTGGGGAAATTTGCAAACCTTCCCGGGACATGAAAAGTTCTGGTCTTTGTCAGTTGCGCAATAAACCACCATTCGAGACAATGCACTTAAGAGGAATTGTCCCCTCTTCCAGTATTGTGAGATATTCATCTTCCCACGATATGTCCCGGTTTTTTGTACGTCCGAAGGTGGCAACCCTCTCATGAATATCAAAGGCAGGTGTGCGCCCTGACTCGGCGCTTTAGAAGTTTTGTTCTGACAAGGATAAATACCGTGCAACCATTGCCGCAAGCACGTGACATCTTGCCAAGAAACGCACTGCACTTGTGTGCGCGGTCAAAAACAATAACAGGAGACTTAAAATTTCGTGAAATGCCACCTACTTTAATGACACAAATAGGCTTACATTCATCAGTCTTGCAAAAAAAAAACCTCATATACAGCCATTTTTTTGTAAAAGGACATGTACAATGGTAACCAAAGATCAAGACGAAAAGACTTACAAAGCCATAATCTTACATGTTTTTTATTTTTAATTTTTTTTATATTTTGTTTAACAATTTCTACAAAACAGAGTGCTATAACCAGCTATGGCAGAGTGTCTTTGGGAGTTGTTGCTTTGCATAAGGTGCAGGAACAGGAGCTTAAAAAGCCTGATTGTAGGCCTCTAGAACTTGTGACCTAAGGGCCGCGGACTTTAAAGGCTCGTGCAGCTACGTACCCCCCACTGCTGTGGACATACTGCTGTACCTGGCTGGAATCGTGTATATATGAAGGGATGACCTGTGTTGAAATATTAAATTCGAATTAGAACTTTAACGGTGGTAACCTCCTTGGTGTGAATTTTGTACCCATTTGTTTTTTTTTAAGAAATTTCAAATAAACCATTGCATTTTGTAATTTAGCTACAAATTTACACAAATTTACAAAAATAGTAAACAAAAATAAATTATTTCTTTAGCAATAATTTTAGCTGCTTTCCACTTTGGAACTCATAAATACCCATTTGTGGCCATTTCTATCGAGTGGGAATGTACAGTCCTGTATTCCTAAAATATCAAGGCAAGAATTCACATCCTCTATACAGAGAATTGTATCAGTTAGTGCGTCATGTTCAACATGCTTTTCAAACAATATTAAAATAAAAATCAAATTATGAACTCATAGTTGCCAAAGAAATACCTTTAAACATTTGCATTGCAAAGATATTTTACGTGGGTCTTGTGACCGACAGTCAAATCAGCAAACCAGGTTTCAGAACGATTCGATATTTGCCACTCCACTTAACTAAGGCATGAGATGTGCCGAGGGTTACGATGGTACATACTTTTAACTTTGGTAATAAATACAAGTGTACAAAAAGGGCATCGGCTATATTACGATACATACATTTTAACGTGTCTTTATAAGTACTGTATAAAAAAAAACCCAACATTACTTACAAAGTGGACAGAGGCACATACGCGCGCACGCTGCTAGTGCGACGCATGGCTCCAGCGATTCCTTTAGTGTAAGGCACATACGTATGTTCATCAAGTGGCCGTGCTTGGTACATTTATTGTCCGTCAAATATGCCGACGTTGCACCGCACGTTTCCTCTTGGATCTTGTCGCCGTGCCACGCACCTGGCTCCTGCCGCCAGGTTGTGGCGCAAACCGGAGCAGACCGCACAAGCTACACGCGCCGCCCCTGTTATCTTTTTTGAAGAAAGACGAAAACCGAGGTGGGTCATCGGTTGCACGTGGCCGCAAATATACGGGTTCGTATTTCCCCTTCGGCAGTTGCTGCCCGATCCAGAACGAGGCTGTCGAGCAAAACGCCCCAAGTTACGCACCATGATCCAGGTGCTCGCTCGACTTCCCGCATCAGACACTGTTGGCTGGACCCACAAAAAAAGGGACGTGGTGGCGACAACCGTTTTACTACGAATCGGCTTTTAACTCGTCGCATACCGCTGCTTACGATGGATTTAATGTAATGTCTCGATCCAACAGCCTTGTCAAAACGCCCGATGCGCCTCAACCTAGGAATACATTACCCGTCCGGATTTTACTTTTAAAACTGCAACTCAAAAAGTGATATTGACATAAAACGTGTCGCGGCGATGCATCTTGTTTAAACGCAAATGCTCCTTAAAGACCCAGAAAGTCCCCATAAGACGCAGTGGCGCCTCGCTCTCGGCAGGTGCTTGGATCGCCCTTTTCTGTTGGAATGTCACAATTCGAACAGGAAGTTCAGCGCGCGCAGATGGCGGGGCAGAGGGAAGCCTGGTGGCTGCGTTGAGAATTCGGAAGTGACTGCAGTGAAGTCATGGAGAAGCAGGAACACAAAGGGGCGTATAGCCAGCCAAGGTCCCACAGCCATGACAGCAGCAACACAGGCCAACACACAGCCGTTGTGCCAGAAGAGCTCCACATACTTGAAATATTTTTTTTAAAGTTTTTTTTATTTAATGTTTTTTTTATTTTGTGTATTTTTTGAATTAATGTATCATCATTATTATTACAGTATTAATATTTTATTGCTATTATGGCTTTATTTCAGTCCATGGAAATATCCACCGATAAAAAGGGTGCTGGCGCCAAACCAACGGGCGTCATTGGTGCCTCTTCATGTGCAGCGCCAGGTGATCAGACCTTGAGAATGACCTGTGAATCAAAACAAAACTAAATTAACAAATGATCTTGCTTTTGTTACTTTGATATGTTAGCCTTGTTTTTTTTTGTTTCGTAAATATGTGCATGGCTGGACTATTAAAAACGCCCATGATGCGCGTGCATGAGAATCGGTTGTTTACAGTTTGGGAAAATTACACATTACATTTAAGCTAATGGGGGTATATATATATAAATATAATGTATACAAAACTTAAATTTGCTTGCAAACAAAGCGATAAAACTGGCATGTAAAATTGATTGGTTCTTGAGTTGAATCGTGAGCCAAAAATCATGACAATTTGTGACATTTCTCGGGATGACAAATCAGTAATGCCACAGCGTCTTTGGGAGCGCAGCTGCATTTCAGACACCACATTTAACAAAAAAAAAACAACGCACAACTCGCACTGTGCATTAACAAAAGCGTGACTCGTGTGTGTCAGTCGTGACGAAACACCGAGAGTGTTTAAAACATGAAGGCTCAGATTCGGCCACCCGGGCTCCGTGACCCCGATCGCGAGCACACCGCACCTGTCGCAGTGCGCGCACTTGAAGGGCTTCGCCCCCGTGTGCTTGCGGTAGTGCCGAGTCAGCTCGTCGCTCCGCGCGAAGCGCCACTCGCAGCCCTCCCAGGAGCACTTGTACGGCTTCTCGCCTACAAAAACACGGCAGGAGCGGTTCCATATTCTCATCAAGGAGGACGAACAAAAGTCACACGAAGTCCGGGCATCCTCGCAGCAGCGGCTTTTGGCTAACCGTCGAACAAGGACGTTCACCGCATCGCGCGCTTTCGGATGGGTTTTCTGCGGCCATCTAGAACGCACTTCCTTCCGATATTAGTAAGCCACCGGAGCTTTGCACTTTTAAATCTAGATTTAAAACGTATTTGTAGAGAACTGATTTTTGTGTTTAGATTGTTGTCTTTCCTATATCAGCACGGTTGGCTACGTACAGTACGAAATAAGTTCAACATGCATGCATAGTCTGCGATGAGACAACGCTTCCGCCATGCCTGCTGGCAAACGCGACAAACACAAGCGCAACGGTATCCAGTCATCTGTACCGCCCAGGTGTTATTGTGCTGTGGTGGGGCAGCGTGTACCAGCTGGGGGCCGCATCATCAATCACCTGTGAGCGTTGCTCGTACTCAAGTGCACTCTACCCAAATCATGCACGGTTGTCTGGGAGGGGGTTCCCGTAAGCTTTTCACGATGATCAGAACTCTGCAATACCTTGAGCAACTGTTGTACAATTTTATATCTGACATCTGTGCCAAAAGCCCTCGTCTCATGCGTGTGGTATTTGGAAATGCTGCAGTGGATGCCGTGACCACAGGCCATCTCATATCCGTTTGCGCAATTTTTTTAATTCGATAAATCGTCTGCATTTATGCACGCAATAATGAAAGCTAACAATTACATTTGTAGGAACTGATAAGTATCCATCAAAGTTTTGAACTTCCATTTGTTTCTCCTTGCTAACACATTTGTGTGTATCCACCAAGTTGCCAAGAAAGAAAAATGTGCCTTCCTAGTGAAGAGGTGAAGGGGCATTTGCTCAATTACTGGCTAAGTCTTCAAGTTTGGCATTGTGCACAAGCCATCGCAAGAGTGCACCGTCCGCTTAATCCACAGTATACATGATATCATGGAGCTGTATTAGGAACACTCTTGTCATGACATATTTGGATGTTTAGGATTCCATGAATCACCTCCCTCTGGATGGAGTTTCTACAGTGAGACTTTAACGGTCTGTCCAGCCAGCTTACGGATTTCATTCTCACCAAGGCCAGGAAGCCCCATTATTTCTAGTCCGAGATGCCTGGCAGTTCACAAGTCTTAGCTCGTCATCATTAAACACACAGCCGTCCCTGAAGACTGACCATTTAACTGCCCAGGTCTTTGCTTTTCTTCGAGGACCAGATGCTGCCCATTGGGCTCTTCGTCTCCGTCATTCGGTACAATTACAGCTCGCGTCGTAATCGTCGACAGGACGTCATCGCTCAATCATTTTATTCCGGTTCGTGCGCTTCCTCACCTGTGTGCGTACGCTGATGAGCCTTGAGGTGCGAGCTCTTGGTGTACACCTTGCGGCAACCGCTGAAGGGGCAGCGGTGAATCCTCTTCTTGATCTCCAGCGAGCCCCCCTCGGCCTCCCCACCGACTCGGCACGGCTTGGCGACGGTGATCGCCACCGCCTCGGCCACCGTCGCCACCGTCACCTTGGCGACGCGGTGGTGCTGGTGGTGGAGGGAGACGGTCCGTGCCGGGTCAACGTCCGCGCCTGCCTCCGCGGGGGTTTGCACCCCCTCGGACGGCGAGTGTTCGGGAGAGGACGGCGGCGTGAGGCTTCCGGCGTCGCTCAGCTGCTCGGCGCTCGGTGTGCGGGGCAAGCCGGGCAGGGAGACTCCGTCGCCGATGATGCTCTCCCACGACGCGTCGCTCTCCGTGGGGCTCACGCTCTGGCAGCTCCGCTCGGCGGCGTCCTCGACCGAGTCGGAGCGCGCGAGCACCAGGCTGGCGGCATTGCCACCCGGCTGGCAAGCGAGGATCGTCGGCGCCGCCACCGTAGGCGTTTCGCTTTGCTCGGAGCAGGCAGCGAGAAACCGTTGCCAGGGATTGCCCTCGCTGTGCTCGCGCTCGCGACGCTGGCAGGGCTGGCTGCTGCCACTCCCTCCGCCGCCACGGCCGTCACCGCCACCGCTCGGCTCCGTTTGGAGGTATCGCTCCATCTCCAGACAAATCTGCAACCGAGAAATCTTTCGTTGAGATATCATCGTGGTTCCACAGCTGGCTCGCAAAACGGGGATTAATCTCAAAAGCTTGTAAAAATAAAATGAAATAAAAAATCTCTCATTGCATTACAGATCGTGTAATTAATTGGTCGTGACTTCAAAGCTCTCATATAAATGGACAGCCTCGTATCAAATATTGATTGTTTACTTAATGGAAAAAAGTCAACTCATAATTGTCTGTTGAAACATTAATACAGATGAGGTCATACTTGCAAGCAGCAGCGAACGCTTGGCAAGCCAGGAAATGTGACACCACGTAAACATCATGCCCAAGCGCAGCAACGCGGCCCTTTTACTCGGCTCTAGAGTTGCCGGCACCTGGAGCTCATCAGCCCTGTGCAAGGTGTTCCGGCAACAATATTCAACAATGGACAAACATTACTCGAAAAAAAAAAGCCAGTCCACAAAATTGTGTATTGCAGGCGCGTACGAGATCAAAGCAACGCGATATTGAAAATAAAGACCATCAGCGCCCGTGACATTAAATACAGCGCTATAATTAAATTGGTCGAGTCCCACACACACACACCCACCCACCCTCTCCCCTCCCCTATTGCTGGAGCAGCTACGGCAGTAAAATTGCGAAAAACTCATACAAACCTCTCTGCCATGTTTCAACTTTAAAACATAATTATTGTGAAACTCTGTGTTAAGCAGTTGCCTTGAAATGATGACATTAAGTGTTAACATGATAAACAAATGAATAACAATAACCATCAGCACATTCGTACTAAAACCCTACCCCCCCCCCCCATCCAAAACCATGTGCCTCATATGGGCGATGCTAACTCTGGAAATGCTGGTGACATTCCAACGGAGCCTCCCTCTTACAAACATACAAGATGACTCAACACCGCTTAGCCTACGCTTTGGCTACGATGCCGAAAAAGAAGACAAAAAAGCCAGGCCAACAACGTCTCAACTCCTGAAACGAGTAACACAGAGCTCCTTGCAACCAAACTCCGCCTGCCGCCTCCATCCATGCCCTCCCTCAACGCTACAAGAGCAGGACAAAAGTCGGTCAAAATGATGGAACTTGGCCAAGATGGGATGGGTTGGGTTGGGGGTGGGGGCGTGGTGTTTTTTTGCAAGGAAACTCATCGCCGAATGTTCAGGAACACCGCGTTCACCAGGCGCCGGCACGCACTGAGTGAATTGTGAACATGCCCGTCAGAGAAACAATGGCTCCATCGGCACGTGACCGATACTGTGACTTTTTACGAACGTTTTTTTTGGGGAGGTGGGGGGGAATTGAATGTACGTATGTATGTTCAACTTCTTTCGCGCCGTACGTAGCCAACCGTGCCAATCAGAGGTGCGGGGGTAGGACAACAAACTGAATACACACACACACGTGTTTGGCCAAAATTCTTAACCAAGCCGATCTCCATCGCTAGCGTTGACAATACTACTGACTATAATTAACCCAGACTCAAGCTGAAATTACATACTTTCACAGTTCCAATGCTGAAGTAGTTTACAGCCGGGAAGTTACTGTTAAGCCAACGACCCACGTGACCACTGAGCATAGCACAGATGCAGCAGGCGTTGTGCATGGGGCAGTCGCTGATGGTGCGGCAACATCCAACGTGGTGGTTTTGTTTGTTGGCCAATCTTCACCGACCAGCGCGGTGAAGTACGGTCGAATCTCGTTCGGAAGTGGATTGGCAAACGGGCTGCTGCTGCTGCTGCTACAAGGGGCAACGTTTCGTTCCCATCCCAAGCACCGAGGGACCGGCCGGAGGAGCCCAGCGGCACCCTGGGGCAGGAGGGGAACCAGTCCACATTGTCACCCGCCCCCAAACTTCGCTTACTGGTGGTGGTGTTTGCTGCACATTAGCCTAGCGGTGGAGCGCAGTGTGCACTGTGTTCTCATGCGTAACGGGGGGGAAATGCAACAGCTGGTTGTATGCACAGTGCAGCATTTCCCCAATTACAGCCGGGCGGGTGTGTGGGTGGGGGGGGAACTTGCCATTACATACATACCCCGTCCCATGTTTGTGTTTGCCATTCATTCTGCCTGTATTGGGACAGCCAATACAAACACACGCCCAAGCACGTGGGGCGGCTCGAACGTTTTGCAAAGGCCTAAAAAAGAAACCTAAAAAAAACCGCATTAACTAAGCGGCTGCATTAGTTCCCGTGTGTGTCCCGAGTCTTCGGTGCATATCTAAGTGCGTTATGAATGCACGGCACCTGTACAGGTGCAACGCACTATAATCTAATGCTTCTTCAGCGCGGCTCGGCTCACCTTTACAGGTGCACAGCCAACTCGCAGCACACACAAACACCATAATAAACCCCGCTGCTATGCAGTACACAGACACACACGGCAGTTACTCTGTCATTAAACTGGCCTGGCTCCTGTTGTGTAATCTCTCTCTCCTCCTACTCTTCTCTGGCTCCTCTCTCTCTCCTCCTCCTCGTCATGATGCACGCGGTTGTAACTCTGTGATGACACCCGGGAATGTTCTTAAAATCCATCTGTGCGGACCTCTGAACGCGACACCTCTCCTATGTGTGTTGTGGTGTGTGTGTGTTTTCTCTCTCTCTCCAGGTACAGCAACCCCGGTTATCATCCTCCCCCACAAGAAACAAAGCGCTGCTTACCGATTGAGTTGGTCGCACATACCGATACAGCAAGAACCCTCCTGGATTTTTTTTTGGAGACTCAGCAACGCTTGCCGGGGTAAATAATAACAACTCTAACCATCTCCTTACACTGTGATGCACGAGCCGGCAAAAAGCGCGCGTACACCACCACCACCACCAATGTATACAGCCTAGCGTCGGGCACCAGATTTGGAGAGGCGTTCGTCCAACGGTGGAGAGAAGATGACCGCGTGCGTAACGCGCACGCGGTCATCGCGGAGGTGTGAGGTTACACGCGGCGGGGTGCTGCGCGACACGCAGACATGCAATTAGTTTTTTTTTCTCTGAATGACATCACCCCACAACCTTCCTCCTCCCTCCCTCCCTGCCTCCCTCCCCCAACAACCCCTGGCCGGAACTCGGCAGTGCAAACGCGAAAGTTTGTGCCCGCGATGCGATGGCTCCGTACGATTTGCGAACGAAGCACTGAGAGATTCCGCGTGCACACGCAGAACTCGCTATGGAGGTGACTCATTATGGAGTCTTGTTTAAAACAACTGCAATGTGCTCATTGGTTTTTTTTTCGGTAAAGTCACGTATGTAGAAATACAATAAAATTATATTAAAGCAAAAAAACAATCACGACGTTTCGATGTTTTTTTTGTTTTAATATAATTTTATTGTATTTCAATCATGACGTTTCGATGTTTGTATTTCAATCACGACGTTTCGATGTTTTTTTTGTTTTAATATAATTTTATTGTATTTCTACATACGTGACTTTACCGAAAAAAACCAATGAGTAATTTTATGCAGTCACGAAAGCTTTAATACTTTATTAACTGCAATGTGCCTAGCGACCGGTAAGATTGGATGACCATTATTTTAAGCCACTCGCTTGCGGAAATGACTCATTGTTGAGTCTTGTTTAAAATAACTGCAACGCGTCTAATGACGAGTCGATGGATTATCATTATTTGAAGCCGGAGTTCTGCGGATGTCTTCATACAGCAGTAGATTGGTCATGATTGGGGGGGGGAATGATGATGAGACTATTGGGTAATAAAAAGTACAGCATGCAGACGTAAACGCAGGAACGTGGTAATGTGTAGCAATAAAAAAGGGACATTTCCCGAAACGTCACCCATTGTTTTATGGCAAGACTTATTGACCGAATGAGTTGAACTTTTGGTATCTCTGCTTGTGCACCACCGCTCAAGCTGGCAATCTTCGTAGCGTTGAAAATTTGAGATTTCAAAAAAAAATAATCAGGCAACAGCTCAAAAGCACTTGCATTTCATATTAGTTTTCCGAATCGTAAACCAAAAAGCCAATTAAACATATTAACCGCCAATGAATAGTTATATTTTTTTGTATTTAATAAACAGCAAGTGTAACACTGTTGCACTTGTGAAGCTTCATCATTCAGAAGAAATCTGACACAAGCCTGAGCCTGCAAAACAGCTGTGGCCAGTTAAAGGCGATACGCATTCTTTGCCGATTCCCGTAATGGGAGATTTTTTAAAAATAAAAAGTCCATTGCCCAACTCAACATTGAACATCATTACGGTAGAGTTATTCCTATCCCATTTCAGGACGGTGATAGATGTCGATTTGTTGTTGGGAAGGCCTTCATCCAGCAGTGGACTGATCACGGCTGATGCTTATGATTTTCACGACTGACAGGCGTGGTTGCATCGGTTATCAACAGCCACCACAGTTGGGTTTCCATGGCAGCAGATTCTTCTGGGCATTGATTCACCGACAATAATCATATATGATGATAGGTTACACACTTAAAAGCCAAGAGCAAGTCTCCAAGGCCGGATAACACGGCGGCGAGTTCACTCAGATGGTCTGCACCTGAGCAAACATCACAACCACTAATAATGACTCTGTCGCTGCTGTAGCAGCGATCGTTTGAAGCGATTTGTGTGTCGGGTCCTGACCCCCTAACTCACCACAGCAAGGGATGGACAAACATCCATCATCATCAGTCATACTCAATCTACTGCTGGATGAAAGCAGCCCCCCTCCCACCACCACCACCACCAACCTCTCCCCTCCACACCAAGCCGGTCACCACCTCTCACGGCCCTGCCTGCACACGAAGCTCATTCCATCGCTCCATCTCCTCGGTGCACGGATCCACCTCTCGGCAGCGTTCCATTCCTTGGCTGCCACTCCTGCCATTATCTCCTCCACCCATCCCTTCTGCTTCTTCTAAGGACAGATTCCTTTCCAAGGCCACTCACCTCTCTCGCTGTTTCTCTGCAGCGTGAAATCCCATTAACCTGCGCGTGTTCTGCGTTCCATTCACTTTCTGCTTCTCAATGCAATCGCCGCGACTCACAAAAAGCCCTCACTACAATGCGCTATGACACGAGCGCTTTACAGGAAAGACACACGACCGAGTCTCGAGGTTGATGAGCAGGAGAGTCTCTTTCTCTTCCTCTTGAGAAGTTTGGCCGATTCTGTGTGTGTGTTTTTTTTAAAAGGAGTATTTTGCATACAGCAGGAAATAGGTGAAACCGCCCCCCCCCCCACGCAATCCGAGGCGATTCTGCCGCCGGTCGAAATGTTTGCAGGTAGCAGGCACATCATTGCACACGTACACACATTCACGTTACTCGAATACTGCAACTCTTACCACCCACAGTACTTCTGAGTAGTTTCAGCCGACTAGCAATTGTAAGCCTACTCCAGAAACTCCCCCCACCCCCCACTCAGCCACACATACACACCACACACACACACCACATACACGCGTGTTCACCCAGCACATGTCAAAGTGAACACGCGTGCGTCCGCATCTATCCTCGCACTGCTCCCACTCTGGAATTCTCCCTCGCCCGCTCCCCTCCCCTCCTGCACCCACGCTTCCCCTCTCTTGTCGCTGGCCGCTTAGGCGCGTTTGGATACTCCGCGCCTGCGCCCTGCAATCTCCGGTGTTTGTGTTGGGAGGTAGGCAGGTGAGAGCCAGCGACTCATCGACTGCTACCAGGTACCCACACAACTCTTGCACAATACTTGCAGCGTGCACACGCGCGCCTCCCCACTCCTCCCAAGCCCCAGGTGTGTGCCAGCCAGCAGGGCGCACCGACGGCTCACGCGTGCGAGCACACACCGTCGTGCACACACCGCCGTGCACACACCGTCGTGCACACACCGCCGTGCACACACCGTCGTGCACACACCGCCGTGCACACACCGTCGTGCACACACCGCCGTGCACACACCGTCGTGCACACACCGCCGTGCACACACCGTCGTGCACACACCGCCGTGCACACACCGTCGTGCACACACCGCCGTGCACACACCGCCGTGCACACACCGTCGTGCACACACCGCCGTGCACACACCGTCGTGCACACACCACCGTGCACACACCGTCGTGCACACACCGTCGTGCGCGCACGCCACAAACCTCGGCCACCCACCTGCTGCCAGGTCTCCTCCAGCGACGGCATCGCAGAGAAATATCCCGTGTCGTGCACCACCTGGAGCTCGTGGAAGATGCTGTAGCTGGGCAGCACGTCCATAGCAGCAGACGCGGCACGGACCTCGCCACCAACCTCCTCCGACGTCACCTGGCCGCCCACCAACCCCTATTTACCTCTTCCGTCTGATGGACGTCACACGTCCCCAAAACCCACCTCTCTCCCAACTTCTCTCTCGCTTCCTAGCTAAGCGGCGGGGGGGTCGCGAGGCGTCAAAAATCTGCAGGCGGTGGTGCAAGGGAGGAAGGCACACTGGGAGAATGGTCTCGAAGAGCCGCTGACGGAAACGCCGCTCGAGCGGCTTGCAGATCGACTCGGCTGCAACCCCATGCGATTGAATGAGACTGTCGCTGGCGAGCTTGCCTGCGTGCGCCACCTCGTTTATATTTCTGTTTTGGGTTTGTGCGTAAGAGCAGAGTTCGTACGCTCATACCCCCCACCCACCACTCTCGTTCCCTCCTCTCTCCAGCCCCCAAACACCTCCTCCATCCATCCCACCCCCCCACATCACCTCTTACCACCAAACTTCCACCCTCCCCTACCGTCCTCCTCCTCCCCCCACCAAATAAACCCATACAGCCTCCCACCACCACCACCAACTCGCACCCTCCACAGCCACGAGCGGGGTGATGTCATCGCATTGGCAGCGCAACTTTTTGCAAACAAACGACGGCGGCGGCCCCCATTGGCTGAGGCGGCGTCGTCACGTGGCCGTGGATGGGGCGGGCAGCCGGCGCTATTAATAGCGGCGCTATAAAAGAGAGGCGAGAAGTGGCGCGCGCGCGCGTGCGGTGACGGCGACGACGACGAGCAGAGCTGATCGCGCTGATCACGATCATGATGATGAACACAATTGCCTGTACGGCAAGACCCAATTATCCGCACGCTCGACCGCCCGGCAAGCGATGTAGCGTCGTCACGTCATCAGCCACGGTCGATCCACCGTTGGATGAAGCCCTCCTTCCCAATGCCGACGTTGTCGCGCAGCTGTTACAATGATGTGTACTCAAGCCCCTCTGTCGATCAGCTGCTTAGATGAAGGCCCTACTCCCGTTGTCAGTCATGGTGGTGGGGGGGGTGACCATACTTCACCATGCCGGTCAGTGCGGGTTGGTGTTATGACACCGATGTTATGGCTGCAACCGGGAGTTTGGTGTTGCAATGCGCGGACCGCTGCAACCACGATCTCAACGAGTACTAACTATATCGACATATACTCCTACTGAGGATATGTTGAGGGTAGTATGTGCATGTGGAAAACAGGCGACCGCGCGGCACGCTTCGCATGTCAAGACGTCGCCATTCTTCAGCGAATTGCACGGCCTGCTAAGAGGCTGTGTACACTGATGGCTTTAAACTAATTGGTTTAAACTCATTGATTACCCAGTGATTGTACGCGCATTGTCTCGGCTGTGGCAGGGCACGTGCTTCTAGTTAATTTGTGTCCCAAGATTTATTTGTTTTTACAATTGTACAAACAAAAAAAGCACACGCGTTTATTAATTTAAGCCAGTGCCCTAATGTGGACCATTACTGCCTACTGACTTCCACGACAAACATAACAGGAAATGCGGAGTTTGATTATGATTTGTTTAACCCATTCATTGCCGATCAACTTATTGCAGAAAGGTCCATTTATACATTAATAGATACTCCACCGACGTAACGCTCCTCGACTTTATCCTACTTTCCAACGGGATCCTGGATGGTGCCAGGCCGAGTATATCTGGCTCAAGAATATCTTACACTGAACCTTAACATGCTGAACGTATTTCGAGTTATTTATATATATATATGAATTCCTGGAGACGTTTGTGAGGCTTTCGAAAGATAAATGTAAATTTCTCAATTATTACAGCCCCATATATTAAGTGGGGTACCTATAAATGCATCACCCTTACGCGTGATATATTGCATTGTGTCACTCGCGAATGGGATTATTATTTTCTTCTTCCAGCATTTAGCAGAAGAGCATGCGTTACAATGTGGGTTCTTCAGCAAACAACGCGTGATGACTGAACGGGCTGAGCCATGTGGAATCTCTGGGCCAATGGGTGCTAACTTCTCTTTCATCTAGCCGCTACAGTGTATTGGAATTTACTAGAAACCTACTCAGGCACCCCTGACCGCCTCCCCCTTGATTTTCCGTGTTGCCTTGGTGACCACGATGGTGTACATTGCTGTTTGTGATTAAACAACAACCGACTCACAATTTTACGAATTATTTGCTGCTGCTGCTGCGTTGGCAGTTGGGTAACACAAACGCATTTTAAGGAGAGGAAAAAAAACCCGCGATGCATTCGTCCATAGCACTGTGTGTGTGACGTATGTGGCCTTAAATATCAATATATCCACAAAATAGGAGACATTTTGGGCAATGGCCCTTCTTCACAGGGCATATAAAGTTTTTTTTAATTTCGGGGGCACTCAAGTGCAGAAGGCGTGGGCGGTGTAGTTTGATCTCCCTGGCTATCTGCTGACACGTCAACGTCGCTATCATCGCCGTCATATTTTGAACGCTGCGCATCTACGAAGTCAACTTCTGAGCATGCCATCCGTGTAAAAAGGGACGCGTGTGATTTCAGATCTCGAAGTCAATAAACAACTGCAGTGTATTAATATGTACGTTGCTCAGCGTGGTAGCAATTTCTTTTTGCATCCCAAAAATATTGTACGTGAATTGCATTTCACGCTGGAAACCCAACAGAGCGTGAGAGGAACATTCTAACCAGGACTTCATGTCGCACTGAATGTTTTCCCCGCGTTCCTGCTTGGCTGAAGTAGTTCGGCACTGGCCTGGCTCCAGCTCCCCTCTTGGAGTGGAAGGGGGGGGCAGTTGAGCTGTTGTGGGGGGAGGGGGGCACCATAGCAGTGACTCACAGTGACTCAGAGTGAATCACAGTGAATCACAGTGGCTCACAGTGAATCACTGTGATTCACAGTGACTCACAGTGATTCACAGTGACTCACAGTGATTCACAGTGACTCACACTGACCTCACCAAGAGCCGGTGGCCGCCGTGTACGGTAACAGGCACGTGGCGAGTAGTCACAGCCGTCGCAGGAGGGTATTCTGGATGTGGTGTACTGGGTGTGCGACACATTTTCCGGGTCACTGATAGACCCAGCTGAATTTAAGCCCGGGGCGTAAAGCGTATACAGTAGAGGCCACGAGGTAGTGTTTTACTACCGTTCATAGTGCACAGTGGATTTGTTTTGAAAAGACGACGTCATTGAAAAGACAAAAACTTGCGGGGGGCCTATAATAATTTGAGAAAACGTTTAATAAAATTCACGAGGTTTTTTTGTCCAAACAAGGCAACAAGGCCGAGCACGTTTTGTAAACGGGCCAATTTCGAGCTCCGAGGGCTCGGCCACGTTTGGAACACGGACATTAACCAAGTGTCGTGGGGCAATCTGCCCTGTGTGAAAACAAATACCATATACAACTTATTCGTGGTATTACACAGACTTTGGGCATCACCGCATAAGGCTACTTTGGATGCATGCTGATTAAAGCAACACTCAAATATAATTCACGACTGACATGGACTTTGCATTTAACCGCACGCCGTGAGTTGTTAAGCGTCTTCCGGAAAAAAAAGCAATGAATGTGGCTATTTATAAAAAAAACGATTGGTGGGTTTCAACTCAGAAAATAAAAAAAGTTAAACTGTTGCCTATGCCGGCGATCAGTTTACCTGGCGCACACCTTGGTCGATAATCAGGTGACTTTACTGTTGCGACTCATTGAATCTTCTCGTTTTTCACTCTCCTGTATCTGTGGGTTCCAACAAGTGCTCAGGTCCCCCCGCCCGCTCAAGCTGACCTGTCCGCATCGCCTGCCCCGGTTCGGCGTGACCTCGCTCAAATGGACCCCTCCAGTGGAATTCAAACGACGAGAATAACACGCGTGCTCGTGTTCGTTCATCGTCACATTCACCAGCCGCGATCTGTCCACTGCTGGATTAAAGCCTCCTCAAGTGGTTGCCATCTCCCATGGCCTTGTCATGCAACACCGCATCTGGCTCCAGCACACGAGCTGGTTTCATTGCTCCGTTTCCTCGGTGGACGTGCTCTCGAAGCGCGTCCTCTCTTTTTGGCTGCCGTTCCGTCATTAGCCTTGACCGTCGGTCATCGTCCCTCCCAGCGACATTTCCTGCCGAAGTCCCTCCTAATTTCACCTCGCTGATCTCGTCAAGGGAGCGTCAACCATCACGCAAACTCCGGTCATCCTCGTAGCAGCGGCTTTTGGCTAACCGTTGAAAAAAGACGGTCACCGCATCGCACACTTTCTTCTGCTGCCGTCTGGAACTCTCCTCATTCCGATATTAGGAAGCCACTAGAACGATGCACTTTTAAATTTAAATTGGAAACTAATTTCTTTAGAACTGCTTTTTGTGTTTAGTTTGTTGTCCTTCCCCCACACCTCCAATTAGCACGGTTGGCTACGTGCGGTGCGAAATAAGTTCAACGTACATACATTCCTCTCCTTTAGGTTA